TCAAAATATTCAGCCTGCTAACCTTCTCAAAAACAGAAAAATTAAGCCTATATTTCAACAAGGGCACCTGCATCTTTAGAACTAAAGGTAAAAGGAAAAACAGGAAGTCAAAAAGGTCTTTGATCAGTCAAAGAGACCATACAGTTGAGAGAACACACGAAACCCTCTTCACTCAAAGCCTACTGGATCTTATTTTAGACACAATTTTAATAAGCTCTGTGATCTGGTTTCTTAGCTCACAACAGATGAGATGCAGCCAACTGGAAAAGGGCTGGGGGTGGTACTAGGAGAGGCAGGCAGGCCTCAAAGCATCAAAACCTATAAAGTCAGCAGAAAACTGAAACACAGAAGGCTATTTGGTATAGACACAGACACACAGACATGAAGACATACATGTGCACACACAATTCAAATCCCTGCTATAACCATACTATTCATAATGTGTCTCCATGGTAAATTTTGGCTAAAGACTAGCTCAGGAATCTCCAAGATATACATCAAAATAATGCCCATCAAAAGCTTTTTCCAGAACTTGGGGTAACTCAGTAGTGGGGTATCTGCTGAGAATGTACAAGGCCCTTCCTTGGTCCAATCCTCAGCAGTGAAAATAAAAAGTGCTGTAAATTTGGCCAAAACAGACTATGCATGTATGAAATTCAAAAAAATAAAAAATATGTACAAAAATTCAGACAAAAAGTACCAAATTCAGACAAAAATTTGCATTATATATCAAAGAAGTAAGATACTGAGTTCTTATTTTTTATTTTTGGGAGGCTTTTCAAGACAGGGTTACTCTAGTTTTGGAGCCTGTCCTGGAACTTGCTCCGTGGACCAGGCTGGCTTCAAACTCACAGATATACACCTGCCTCTGCCTCTGCCTCCCAAGTGCCACCATCCAGCAAAATACTGAATTTCTAAAGATGCCTCCTGTCAAATGAGGTAAAAATTTAAGAATTCTATTAGAACTAGATAAAACACTTCATGATGGGCTGAAGAGATAGCTCAGAGGTTAAGAGCACTGACTGCTCTTCCAGAAGTACTGAGTTCAATTCCCAGCAACCACATGGTGGCTCACAACCATCTATAATGAGATCTTATACCCTCTCCTGGTGTGCAGGCAGAACACTGCATACACAACAAATAAATCTTTAAAACAAAAGGGGAAAAAAAACCCACTTCATGACATTTGAGGTCGAAGGGATATTTAAATAATAGCTCTTTTCAGAGTCTGACAACAGGAAAGGCAACACTAAGACTGATTATTCAGACCAAGCAAGTCTTGGGATTCCAGATCAGATATATTGGGCTGAGGATAAGATAGGAATGGTTTTAACTGTATCCATTAAGCCAATATAAACTATATATGCCACGCAAAAAAAAAAAAAAACAATTGAGAAACACAACTTCTGCTTTTGTTTTCACAATAATTTTGATGAAAATAAAAGAGGGATTTTTCTAGTCTTTGGCAGTCTAAGAGAAGTCAAGTCATACTTGACTTCAACAAAGGTTCTAGGTTACTAAATGGGAATAGAGAGATACATATATAAATTTTAAAAACTGAGCTAAGAATGCACCTCAGATGGCGGAGTTCAAACTCTGGGTTTGATTCCAGGGCCACTTAAAACTTAACAGGGTGGGACATGCTTACAGTCACAGTATTCAGGAGGTAGGGGCTGAAGGAGCACAAATTCAAAGTCATGCCCCTATACATAGTTTCAGGCCAGTTTGGAATACATGCAAACCTGTATCAGGAAAATAACTAGGGGACTGAGACAGCTGAGCTGTTATTTTTGTTCTTGCTGAGAACCCAGGTTGGATTCCCAGCTCCTGAATGGTGGCTCACAACCACGTCTAACTCCAGTTCCAGGTGATTCAACAGGCATATACAGTGAGCACACAGATGCATGAAAGCAAAACATTCATAAAGTAAAACACATAATTGTAAAAGGTTTATTGAAACAAATAGCCAGATGGTAGTTGTACACATCCTTAAGCCCAGAACTCAGGATCAGGAGGCAGAGGCAGGTAGATCTTTGTGAGTTCGAGACCAGAGTGGTCTACAAAGCAAGTTCCAGTACAGCCAGGGCTACAAAGAGAAGCCCTGAACAAAAACTCAATCTCTAGGATGCAAGGAAAGGTGTAAAATAGTTCAAGCGAGGGCTATGGGTGAAACATACACAGACATTTTTAAGGACAAATGATCATTTCTAAACCTGATTTCCTTTTTAAAGATTTATAAGAACTGGGAATGTAGTTCAGTGGTAGAGTGTTTGCCTTAGTATACATAAGATTCTGGGCTCAATTCCTTGTACTGTACAAAAAGATTTAAAGTGAAGGCAGGTGTGGTGGTACCTGCCTGCATCCCAGTACTGAGGATAAATACCAACCTGAACAACAGTGACAGCCAATCTCAAAAACAGCTGGGGGCAAATGTTATTTTAAGACTTAAGTGTATGTTTTGAGTCAGTGTTATCGCCCTCTCTGAAGAAATCTCTACAGCACAGATATTAACACAAACACTAAAAGCTATTAACTCGTTGGTTTAATCTCAGCACTCTGAAGGTAGAGGCAGATGGCTCTTGGAGTTTGAGGCCAGCCTGGTCTACATCACAGTAAGTTGCAAGCCAACAGAGCTAGGAAGACCCTACCTTAAGGAAAATTAAGAATCTTTGCAAATTATCACACATCAAACTCACTTTCTCTCCCAGCTTTGGGGGATCTTCTATAGGTATAACTCAAACAGCAACTCAAATTGATAACTTCCCAATAGACTCTATAAGGATCTATGACAGTTAAAGTCTTTGAAATTCTTACACATGCTGGGTGGCAGTGGCAGGTGCCTCTAATCCCAGCTCTTGGGAGGAAGATCTCTGAGTTTGAGGCCAGCCTGGTCTACAAAGAAAGTAAGTTCCAGGACAACTAGGGCTGCTACACAGAGAAATCCCATCTCCAAAATGAGAGGGGGAGAGAGAGGGGGAGGGGGAAGGGGAGAGAGGGAGAGAGGGACAGAGAGAGAGAGAGAGAGAGAGAGAGAGGAGACGATATATACACATTACTTGGATGTTTATCCTTTACATGGTTTTTCAAGAGATCTTTCACTAAGCTCATACTTTAAAAAATAGTAATTTATTTATCTTTATTTTATGGGCATTGATGTGAAGGTTATCAGACCCCCTGGAACTGGAGCCACAGTTGTGAGCTGCCATGTGGGTGCTGGTTGAACATAGGTCCTCAGAAGAACAGCCAGTGCGCTTAACCGCTGAGCCATCTCTCCAGCCCCAAGTCCATTCTTCTTTTAGCAAAGACCCTGCTTCATTTTAGTGCCAAGACTTATTGCTAAAGCCTATCCTTTGATTTCTTAAAAAAAAAAAAAATCAAGCAAAAGTTGGTAAGGTGCTAATTCACGGTAAGGAATGGAATTAATTCCACATTCGAAGTCTTGAATAAAGAATAAAATGAGGACCAATTGCTGAACTGTGGTTTCCCATCTTTCAATCTGCATTTTGACTTCGTTCTCCATTCTTTGTGTCCCCATCCTATCAGCCCTTATGGGTAATCCCAGGCCCTACCACTTACTAATAAGGTGAAGATTTAATATGGCCCATCTGAGGAGCCAAATAAAATACCAAACAAAATTCACAGTGGGTGACTTCTTACGTCCAAGGAAAAAAATAATAGTGACACCAAAAGGTTAATATTGAGGGGGAGGACACTGAAGTTTACGCCAAGCCTATGCTATCCTAATACTAAATCATATCAATAACTAAGTGGCTAACCTTTCGTTTAAAAGAACTAAGAAATTATTTCTAACCAAAAATCGAGTAAAATCCCTTCTAAATTAGGTCTTCACGAATATATTGTCTAATATTAGCGTTAAAATCATTTTGGGAGAAGTCTGTGAAAGGAATTTCTCCGGCGGTGTTCAACGTTCGGTTTTCGGAACTGCCTGGCTTCACCCTACCAGGTAAACAGTTGTTCCACTAGCTCCCGTCCTGCAAAACTGAAGGGTTAGTCTCCGACGACATGCGGCAACCCCGAGGAACAACGCTTCTCCACTTAACCCCCTCCGCCCTCCGGAGGGGCATTCTCTTCCCTCTGACTTTCCAGACCAGTAAGGACGACTTCAGCGTGCAGCCAGCTGCCCAAGAGTTAAATGAACTCAAGGAAACAGTCACGGATCGAGCAAAGGGACCCTCCGGTCGCACCCTGTCTGGGTGCTCGATCTCAGGGAGCTCCGGGTAGGGCGCCCGAGTAGGGGGACAGAGATTGGACAAGCAGCCCTATCGACCTCAAACCATAGGGCCGCCCAACGCCCCAGTTGCTGCCCCCACCCCCCTTCCCGCGCCGTCCAAGTCCCCTTCCCAGGCGGACAATAGCCCTAGAGAGCAGCAAATCCCAGGCTGGAGGGAGGCCTGGAAAGGCGGCGGGGTGGACGACGGCGAGGACCGGAGCAACTTCGGCCTAGCAGGGTCCCCGCGCTCCGGCCTTCGCGGGCGCCATCTCTGGGAGTGGGGTGTGAAGGCCGCCCCGTGGGGCCGGCGCCGGCAGCGGGAAGCAAACGCCGCGAGCCCGGCGGAGGCGACCGCGGGAAGTGCAGGCCGCAGCCTACTCAGCGGGCTCTCCCAGCGGCCCATTCCCACAGCAACACCCCGGCCGCTTACCTTGTGGATTCTCTTCAAAGCCATGGTGGGAAACGGTGGCGACGGCCCCCGGGGCGGGGACGGGGACGGGGGAGGGACGGGGAAGGGGCGAGGGGGGCCTGAGACCGCCCGAGCGGTCGCGAGTCGGCCGGAGAAGACCGGGAGCTCCGAAGCGCGGATCCGACGAGCTGAGGGCCGAGGCCCACTCAGCTACTGGGCCTGCCGCAGCGGTCACCGCATCACCCGGCGGCGGCCCCTTTATGCGCTGCTGCCACAGCCGCCGCCGCCGTAGCCGCCTCTTCCTCGTAGGCTCAGCGCCGCCTCCTCAGCCGCCGTGGATCCCTCCGCCGGGGAGGAAGCGCCCCAGACCCCGGGCTCGCCGAGAGCTTTACGGTCGCGGAGCCGGGAAAGCCTGCTGGCTTGCCTGATGCAGGTGGACTAAGAGACGCGCGGGCGGGCGGGCGGCGCCGCCGGGGTGGGGCCGCCAGAGCGCGGGGTGGGCCCAGGCCGAGGGGCAGGTCGGGAGGCTCCGGGATTGGCGGGCCTGGGAGGGAGGGCCGGGCCGGCGGCGGAAGGATACGGGCCGCCCCTGCGAGGACCTTACGCGCCGGCGCCGGCGCATCCACGGCCGCGGAGGGGATGACGTCGCGAGGCACGGAGAGGCGATCTCGCGAGAGTTTAGGCGCGGGTTCTAGATGCTCCTCCGCCAAGGCCCCAAATTGGCCCCCGGTACCCTGTGCGCGTGGCGCTTCGAAGATCAATAAACGCTTAAAGGGACGCGTTCCCCACGTTGTTTAGTCCCCAGCAGACTCAGAAGGAAGTACCAAATCCCACTGCTACTTTCCTGAAAGAGAAAGGGACTTTCAAGGTCACACAACTCTTCATCTATTGGCAGTTTTATGGTCCTAGAGCTTGCAAAAGGGGAGCCTTGAGGCTGGCCATCCAACCAAGACCCCGACTGGACATGACTCGAATGTTCTTTCCGCAGCCACCAGCCTGTTAGCCTTAGGAAATATGCCAAGGAGAATAAGAAAATATGGAAAGGATTTTTTTAACCCTTTTTTTTTTTTGGTTTTTCGAGACAGGGTTTTTTTTTGGGGGGGGGACTAGCTCTTGTAGACTAGGCTGGCCTCAAACTAACAGACATCCACCTTCCTCTGTCTCCCGAGAGTGCCACTCTACCGCTGCCTCATTTCGATTTTTATACTTAATTTTTCATATATTGGATGTTTTACATTTATTTGTTTGTTTGTTTGCTTACCTATTTATTTTAATTAAAAAATTAGCTCAGTAGTGGCGAATGCCTTTAATCCCAGTATTCAGAAGGCAGAGGTCTGCAGATCTCTGTGAGTTCGAGGCCAACCTGGTCTACATAACTAGTCCAGGACCTGACTTGAAATCCTGTCTCAAAGAAATCATTATATAGAGAGAGGTTTTTCCTGAATGTATATCTGTGTATCACAAGCATGCCTAGTGCCAGGGAGGTCAGAATAGGGGTCCTGATTTCCTCGAGCTGGAGTTACAGATGGTTGTGAGCTGCCATGTGGGTGCTGGGAATTCACCTGGATCCTCTGGAAGAACAGTCAGAATTTTTAACTACTGAGCCATCTCTTCAGCCCTTATTTTACTTACGTATTTTTTTTTTTTTGAGACATCATCTCAGTAGCCCTGGTGGCCAGGAACTGATTATAGAGATCAATCTGGCCTTGAACTCGGAATGCTAGGATTGAAGAAGTGTGTCACCACACCAGACAATTCTTTTTTCTCTCTCTCTCTTTAAAGATATGTATGTATGTATGTACGTATGTATGTATGTATGTGTTTATTTGGTTTTTCAAGGTAGGGTTTCTCTGAGTAGCTCTGGATGTCCTGGAATTCACTTTGTAGGTCAGGCTGTCCTCGAACTCGTAGATATGCCTGCGAGGAAAGGCTCCAAAGCTACAGAGAAACCCTGTCTCGGGAAAAAAAAAAAAAAAAGATTAATTTTTTTTTGTTGTTTGTTTTTTTGAGGCAGGGTTTCTCTGTAGCTTTGGAGCCTGTCTTGGAACTAGCTCTTGTAGACCACGCTGCCCTCAAACTCACAGAGATCCACCTGCCTCTGCCTCCCTGCTGGGATTAAAGGTGTGCGCCACCATCGCCTGGTGATTTATTATTTTTTTTTTATTTTATGTGATTTGGTATCTTGCCTTGCATTGATGTCTATGTACTCCTTCTGTGCCTAGAAGCCAGAAGAGGGTGTCAGAGCGCCGGGAACTGGAAGTAATCTTGGTGTTGAGTCACCTGTGGGTGCTGGAAACTGAACCTAGGTTCTCTGTAAGAGCAAGTGCTCTTAGTTACTGAGCATCTCTCCAGCCTTTTGACCAACTTTTATATGAATTTGAAGGATTTGAACTCAAGCTCTCATTCTTGCATAGCAAATACACTTACCTGCTTACCCACTCAACAAAGACCGTAGCCCATTGCTGTTTTGGTTTTGTTTTCTCTCTCTATTTTTTCTTTTTGAGGCAAGTTATTATACTGTTACTGGAATATTTTTGGACCCTCACCTACTACCTTGGAAATTGGGGTCCCTTTATGAGAGTCTTGGTCTTGCTTTTGTTTTGTTGTTGTTGATTTTTCGTTTGTTTGTTTGGTTTGGTTTTTGGTTTTTGGTTTTCCCAGACAGGGTTTCTCTGTGTAACAGTTCTAGCTGTTCTGGAACTAGCTCTTGTAGACCAGGCTGGCCTCAAACTCACAGATACCTGCCTGCCTCTGCCTCCCGAGTGCTGGTCTGGTCTTGCTTTTTAATTAAGTTTTTAGATTTATTTATCTTATTTTATATGTATAAGTGTTTTTGCTTACATATATGTGTGTTTTGTGTGTGTGTGTGTGTGTGTGTGTGTGTGTGTGTGTGTGTGCATCATGTGCTTGCCTGGTGCCCACAGAAGCCAGGAAGGGCATCAGATCCCCTGGAACTGGACTTAATGGTTGTTGTGCGCTACTCTGGGAATCAAACCCAGTCCTCTGTGAGAACACCAAGTACTCCAAGACTCTGAGCCATATCCCTGGTCTTGTAAAAAAAAAAATTAATAAAGGACTCAGAACAATTTTATTTGAGTTGAAAACAGAAACCCAGGGCAGGAAAGGCGGAAACTTGAACAGGTGCGCAGAGGACAATTGATTAAAAGGAAAAGAAAAGGCTGTGCCAGGGAGTGAAGGTGGCACTGAAGCCAAGCCCATGGCAAGAGAGGCGCTTTGAAGACTGCGAAGCCCAGTGGCAGGGAAAGCCCCTCAGGAAGGGAATCTCTGAGAGCCTGTGGCTCCTTTCTGGGAAGGAAAGGTACATCACCTCCCTGAAGGTATAATTATTCTTCCTATCTCTTCAGCTGGGTTTAGAGTAAATCTACCTTCCTGAGGATACTCCCTCAATCAGGTGATTGCCTAGCCTAACTGGAATGTTAGGTCTCCAAGCAAGCCAGAAATTCTATTTTCTTGACCAAGAAGAAAGAGCTTCCCTTCAGTGGGCCTCAAGGCTGCTGTAAAATCACCATGTGGCCCAGACTTGCCGCAAACTCTTGACACCTCTCTTCCTGAAATTACAGGAGATTGTCTCTTTATCTGTCATTCACCCCCACACCAGTCCCTGAAGACAGGGTCCCCTTGAGTAGTCCGGGTGGGTCCTCCAAGTCATGGTCTTTCTGTGTCAGCCTCAGGGTTCTGTAAAGCTGTCAATATGGCTGTCCTTCTGGGGCTCTGGGGGTGAAGGCTGTGTTGCTCTTGGTCTTCTTCACATTTTTGTTAGCATATATTGTACAAAACAATGCATTTCTTTGTGGAATGTTCATGCAGACATACAGTATACTTTGACCATATGTAATCATCTGTCCTGTCCCTTTAAGACACAAGCCACACCCACTCCCTCCCCATGTCTGCTGAGGCAAGCTGATCTTCAGTTTCCAACCTGAGTCCTTTCCCTTTCTCTCTCTCTCTCTCTCTCTCAGAGGCAGCTTCTATCTCTACCTTCTCCCCACTTCTCCCCTTTCCTCCTCTCTGTTTCTCTCTCTCTCTGTTTCTCTCTCTCTCTCTCTCTCTGGTCTTCCCCCTTCTCTCCTTCCCCTCCATAACCTACTAAATAAATATGCAACTTCACTCTACATGTCTCTGTCTCTCACCCGCCACGCGGCTTCCTGCCTGGGGCCCGGCTGCCTTTGTGGCCTGCCATAGTCTCAGGACCCGCTGCCTGCCACCGCTCGGGGACCTGCAGCATTTTACTTAAACCATTACACCATGTTTACCTCCCCACTACCCTCTCTGATTCTACTCCCCCTGAGCCCTTCTTCTCTAATAGCCTTCCCTTAGCTTTACCGACAGTTTTTGAGAGATCCTAGAACTCGCTCTATAGACCAGGCTGGCCTCGAACTCAGAGAGATCCACCTGCCTCTGCCTCCCCAAGTGCTGGGACTAAAGGCGTGTGCTGCCATCACCCAGCTTTAATAACATGTTTTATGAGAGAAAAAGCAACAATGATCTCGTTTCACCACTTGTTTTTCGAAAGACACAGTTTGTTTCTTTCTGGTTGAATATTTCATGTTATTATTCTTACAGAACGTCAACAAAAGACTAACCAGAACTTATTATTATTATTATTATTATTATTATTATTGGTTCTTCGAGACAGGGTTTCTCCAGAACTTCTGTATAAGCCATTCATGTATCGTTGTCAATTGTGAGAGAAATCCCTCCTGCAAATCAATTTCGGTTCCTCTCCCTGGGGTATCAATTCATGCATTGGAGTGTTTCAATTAGAGAGGCCTTTTTCTTTCTTCTTAATTTTATGTGCATTGGTGTTTTGCCTGCGTGTATGTGTGTGAGGGTGTCAGGTCCCCTGGAACTGGAGTTACAGACAACTGTGAGCTGCCCCGTGGGTGCTGGGAATTGAACCTGGGTCCTCTGGAAAAGCAGTCAGTGCTCTTAACGGCTAAGCCATCTCTCTAGTCCAAGAGATCTTCTGTTATAATGTTTATTTATTTATTTTTTGTTTGTTTGTAGCAGGATCTAGTCCTGGCTGCCCTGAAGCTATGTAAATCAGGCTGCCTTGATTTCACAGAGATCTGTCTGCCTCTGCCTCCTGAGCATGGATTAAAAGTCTGTCACCACACTCAGTCAGAGGCCATTCTTGTTTTTTTTGTGTTTTTGGTTTTTTTTTTTCCTTTTGGTTTTTCAAGACACAGTTTTTCAGTAGCTATGGAGTCTGGAGTCTGTCCTGGAACTCACTCTGTAGTCCAGGCTGGCCTCAAACTCAGAAATCCACCTGCCTCTGCCTCCTGAGTGCTGGGATTAAAGGTGCATGCCACCACTGCCCGGCCACAGGCCATTCTTTTTTTTTTTTTTTTTTTGGTTTTTCGAGACAGGGTTTCTCTGTGGTTTTGGAGCCTGTCCTGGAACTAGCTCTTGTAGACCAGGCTGGTCTCGAACTCTCAGAGATCCGCCTGCCTCTGCCTCCCGAGTGCTGGGATTAAAGGCGTGCGCCACCACCGCCCGGCTCCACAGGCCATTCTTAAAGGATGCCTATAATTGAGGCCTGTCAGTGGTGGCGCACGCCTTTAATCTCAGAATTTGGAAGGCAGAGGCAGGTGGATCTCTGTGAGTTTGAGGCCAATCTGGTCTACAAGAGCTAGTTCCAGGAAAGCTGGGACTGTTACACAGGGAAACCCTGTAAAAAGGATGCATCTTTTACACCTGGATTCAGAAACCTCCATTAGAGTTTGTGGGGCAGCAATGAAGCCTGAGAAAGGGGCAGGACCTTGAAGTCTTTGCATACCCAGTGTTACCTGCTGGCAGTGGAGGTTGGGTGAATGGGCAGGATTACATTCTCCTCGGGCCTGAATGTGGTGTGGAGCTGTTCTTAACCTGTCCACCCTCTACCTCCAAATTTTGCCCTACCCCACCCCCCACTTCTGGAGCCAGGGGCTGACTCCCAGCAAGGGAGGCAGGAGGACTGTAGGAGGCCTATTTGGACCTTTAATCATCATCACAAAGGCCTTCTTGACTAGGGTCCCAGGATTCCTGGAGGCTTGTTCAAGGCACCCTTCTCTAGGATCTTCAGGCCTTCTTTGATCTCAATTCACCCCGACGCTGGGCCTCCTGAGGTGGCTAGATACTGCATAACAGTGGCCCTCTCCCTGGTTTTTACTGCATTCTTAAGCTCTTAATGACAACAAAAGCTAACACCAGCGTCTCTAGGAGGGAGACTGTTACAAAGGAAAGCAGGCTGCAGGTCCTTAACTGCTCCAGGCTTCTGGCCTGCAGCTCCAGTGTGCTGCCCCTCCCACCTCTTCCTCTGGTTGGCCTTCTAGTTTCCCTGGCCTTCAGGGTATTTTCAAAGTTCCTCCTTTATCTTAGCTCCGTTACCAGCTCAATAGCCTTTGTCTCAATCATTGTCTCTCTCATCATTCATGACACCCCGAAGATCCCAAAAGGATAATTTTATTTCCCTGAGACAGGATTTCTCTGTGTAACAGTTTTGGCTGTCCTGGAACTCACTCTGTAGACCAGGTGGCCTGCCTCCTGAGTGAGATTAAGACTAAAGGCCTGCGCAATCACCACCAGGCTGAGGATTGTTTTCTTACTCCCTCTCTTTTCAGTCAAGTCTCCATCCTTTCTGGTACCTCTATTAGCCAACTTTGACCTTCAAGGGAAGGTCAAAGGTCCCCATTGCTGTCAAAGGGCTCTAGCAGTGCTTTCTTAGCCCTGGCCACAAAACTGACCTATTCTGAAGTTTCAAGTCCCCTTTCGTCAAGTTCTCCCTTCCTGGGAGATCTGGATCTGACCCCAACAACCACCCGCCGTGGTAGAGCTGGGGGTGGGAGCAAACAGAGCCTGGTCCCACTGTTTGCAAGTTTTTTTTTTTTTTGTTGTTGTTGTTTTTTGATTTTTCGAGACAGGGTTTCTCTGTAGCTTTTGGTTCCTTTCCTGGAACTAGCTCTTCTAGACCAGGCTGGCCTCGAACTCACAGAGATCCGCCTGCCTCTGCCTCCCGAGCACTGGGATTAAAGGCATGCACCACCACTGCCCGGCTCGTTTGCAAGCTATTTGACTATGACAAAAATGACTGAAATTCTTTTCCACACCGGTCTCCTTATCCATAAACTGGGAATAAAGATAACACCCTTCTCTGCAGCCTTTGGTGAGAAAGAGGTCAGATAGGGACGTACTGCCGAGAAACCAGTGCTGTGAGAGAGGGATGGTTTCCATGTCAGTTTAGAGACGTGTGGAGAGAATCTTAACACCCCACTCCTGGTGATAAACATTTCTCTGAATCCTCTGGGAGGCCTTGGGTGCCAGGGTCAGCCAGCATCCAGGGAACCTGCTTACCTGGCTGACTGACCGATCCCGTGGTAACGGAGTTTCCTATTCTCAGGCTCCCTAGGAGTCCAGGCTGGCTGCTGCCTGCTCAGCCCTCTCTACCTCCCACTGGGTTTATCTCCTCCCTAACACAGACTCTCAAAAGGCCCATCTGTATTTCCTTCTCCCAGCATTAGATTCCAGGGGAAATTCCAATTATCTCAGGGACTATTGTTTCAACAATCCGAAAGTCAAAGAAACACAAGTGTCTCTTTAGAATATCTTTAGTCCTGCCAGGATAGTTACACTGTCAGGTCTTGTTCTCACGGTTTACTTATCTCCTCCACTAGACTGCAAGGAAGGAAAAGATGATACTGTTCTATCTGGCCATCTGAGGGCCTTGCTCTGCTCAAGTCTGACTGTCTGGTTCACATGATGCTGAGTATTGGGGAAAGGGCTGAGATAGTCAAGGACTTCTACGTTCTGAGCCCCTGGCTTCTGTGAATTTAGCCTGTGATAAGGGCCCGCCTAGGAGAAAGAGAAGGCAACATGGCATAATCAGTATCTGTGTGTACATATGTGACTGTCATAACCATGTAACAAAGGACCGCTCAGTTGGAATGTGTGTTACCATGTAAGAGAGAAAAGGGGGAATAAAATATAAAAGGAAAATGACAAAGAGGTGTATAAGGCAATGCACCCTATGTTAGGGTATTAGTCTTTTTGTTTGTTTGTTTTTTGTTTGTTTTTGTTTTGTTTTTTGTTTTTTTGAGACAGGGTTTCTCTGTAGTTTTGGAGCCTGTCCTGGAACTAGCTCTTGTAGACCAGGCTGGTCTCGAACTCACAGAGATCCGCCTGCCTCTGCCTCCCGAGTGCTGGGATTAAAGGCATGCACCACCACCGCCGGGCTGGGGAATCAGTCTTTGGGTGTGAATTTGCTAAACTAATCTTGACACAATAATAAACTCTGCAGCATCCTGGCAGAGAGCCTTGGTGTGCCATGTCTCTGCCATGAGAATCTGAAAATGAGCCCCGTGGAGTGAGGACTTTGATGATCTGGAAGGACACTGGCATGGCATAGTAGTTACTTACAGGTGGGTATCTCTGGGGTCTAGACTCAGTCCTTGTGGGGTCTGTGGGTCTATATCTGCACTGCCTATATCTGACTGGCCTGATGTTCATCTTTCTCTGGCTTTCAGGGCATCAGATAGCAGAAGACAGTGGACTCACGAGCACCCATTTCCATAGCTGGACCTGCTTATTCAAACGAGCCTGCAGCAATCACCTCAGAGAGCCTACAAGTCAGTTTTCCCAGGATACCCGACTCACTCCCGTCCTGGGAGGTAGCCCCATCAAAGGCTGAAGATCCTAGGGAAGTGTGTGCTACTTTTCTCCTTCATTCTTCTCTTGTACCCCAGATAGCACCTCTCCAACCATCTTCCACTGACCCTCCCCCCCACACACACACACACAACATACCAAGAAGTAGTACTACCTTTAATCCCTAAAAATTGGCTCTTAGCTCAGTGGCAGAGCACATACTTAGGCTGTGAGAGGCCCTGGGTTTAGTCCCAAGTACACAAACAAAAACAGAATGTTAAAATAGCAGTGAGTTACACTTGACACCTAAGTGGATGTGGTCTTTCTCCTTCCCTAGCTATAAACCTGCAGGGCTTGTTTGTTTGGGTTTGGTAGTGTTGAGACAGGTCCCTCTCTGTAGCCCTGGTTCTCCTGGAACTCACTATGTAGGCTGGTCTCAAACTCACAGAAGTCCATTCGCTTCTGCCTCCTGAGTGCTGGGATTAAAGGCATGAGCCACCACACTCAGCAAACCTGTAGTTTTCTATGAATCACACAAGAAATCCCATTTACAGTAAATGCTACCTACCTCTTCATCCCCTCGTGCAACCTTGTGACCCATGAATTTATCCTAATAGACTATAATTCTACCCAAGTATCACCAAAGCACCCTATAATCTTATTTGTTGAAAAGGCAAAAGATAAAAATGAAAGTTTCTCAGCAAGCCTGAAATTGTACGTATGGTCACTGTGAGTCAGTTAAGCAAGATTCTTCCCTGAGAAGCCCATACCCAGGTTGTATCTTATCCTTTCCCCAAACACCTTTCTATTAAATCCATGCTAACATCTATATTAAAAAATCTCTTCTTAGCTGAGCGGTGGTGGCCCAGGCTTATAATCCCAGCACTCAGGAGGCAGAGGCAGAAGGATCTCTGTGAGTTTGAGGCCAGCCTGGGCTACAAAGCGAGTTCCAGGACAGGTTCCAAAGCTACACAGAGAAACCCTGTTGCGAAAAACCAAACAAAAAACAAATAAAAGAAACAAAAACCCTCTTTTTAATAAATTCCACTTCTGCTTCATAGAAGCTCATTCTGAAATTCCCCCGCCCTGAAATTCTTTTTGAAGGTGCCGTAAAGAATCCTGGCTTCTGGGGCTGAGAGGTGGCTCAGCAGCAGTGCTTGCTGCTCTCCAGAGGACTGGAGCTTTGTTCTCAACACTCACATCAGGCAGCTCACCGCAGCCTGTAGCTCCAGAGTATCCAACAGCTTCTGAGAATCTGAGAAATGTGCTCAAGGGTGGTGTGCACGGGTACACACACACACACACACACACACACACACACACTCAGAATCCCATCTTCTGCCAGGCAGGTTGGTCAGCACTCCTTTGATTCTAACACTTGGAAGGCAGAATCAGGCAGGCCTCTGTGAGTTCCAGACCAGCCAGAGTTACACAGTGAGACTCTATTTTTAAAAACTAAAAATAAAATCTTAGAGTGTAGGTCTCTGAACTCATGGCCAGAAGAGATGGTTCGTGGTAAAGTGCTGAACAAGCATGGCAACCTGGATCTGGATCCTCGGCACCCGGGTTAAATGAGGCAACCCCATCTTAACTAAGATGAGAAGCTGGAGAGATTGCTCAGGGGTTAAAAATACATCCTGCCTTCTCGAAGAGTTAGATTTCCTAGTCCCCAGTCAGTGGCTTACACTTGATTGTAACCGAAACTTCGGAGGGACCCCGATGTCTCTGGGCTCTGCAGGCATCTACACCCATGTACACGTACTAAATATCACAAAGAGTGATAGACGACACCCGAAATTGACCTCTGGCTTTCATATGTACATACACAGGTAAGTAGTACCCACACAAGCATCACAGCACCACCACCAACTCAGGCAGCTGCGTGGGGCAGCCCCATGCCCTACCACCATTAACAATATTTTAAAATAGTTTTTATATATTTCCATCTCATTTTAAGGTAAACCAAGGTCCTGGAAGATCGTCTCCTGGAGTCACAGCTGGAGACTGTCCGCTGGGGCCGACTGGGTGTCCTCAGGAAAGAGCTCCAAGACTATTCCGAAACAGGACAACAGATTCTTCGACCGCTTCTGCCTGCTTGTCCATTTGAGGATAAGTGCTCCCAATGATGCTGTATGAAGCCCAGTCTCCTGATTTGGGCGCCCGAGGGAAGCGTGGAAAAGCAGAGACGTGAGCTGGGAGCAAGCAGTCAGCAGTGATCAAAGACCATTTGGTGCCGGGTGATCGCCCTGGCACCAACTAGAGTCAAGCTCTCGACTGAGAGCAGCGCCATCTAGCGAAGCCCAGCTCTCGGCACCGAGCCGATGAGTTCACTCCCGGGAGGCATGCCGGGAAGGCGAGCCGGGGGCACAATTTACCAAAGGGCAGAGGAAGGGATTAACACCTTTGGGGCCTCCGCCTATCTGGGTAATGTCCTTTGGGGAACTCTGACCACAGAGTGGAGGGCCTCCTGAGTTGGGGTCTTGGACATCCGACAATGCGTTACCAAGAACCTTGCAGCACCATCATCATCATCCAGTGGACTCTGGCCGTTGCCGGGACACCGCGATGGGTGTTGTTCAGCCAGCAATCAGCAATCGGGTTCACTTCACTATTTCTTGCTCAGCAGCTGGAGGAGAGATCTTTGTAAAGATTCTGTTTGGGGGACTTTCGTGGGATATAAAGCTCAAATTCCTGCGTCAGATCTACCACCACCTTTCCTCCACCAGGACCCCGGAGCCCAACATCCCTTCTTTCCCTCAGTTGTGGACCCACAGTCTTCACTTGCCCCAAATTCGCTACCGGGGTTTGTTAAGTGTGCAGTTTCTGAGTCGCTACCCCAGAACCACCAAACATGTTTGCAAACAGGTTGCCATGGTGCAGCCCATGCTGTAAGGACTCAAGAACACCAAGGCTCACACAGGTTGCCTTTTTCAAAGGACAGGACTCATTCTTTAAATTGAGTTGAAAGGTCCGCCTGATCCTGCTCTCCCGAAGTCCTGGGCTTTCACTCTGGGTACAAGACAGTCCCAGTGCTGAAAGGAAGAGTACACACTCTAGCTGTGCAAAAAGCTGACTCAAAACTCCACCTACTGAGCACTGCTCTAGGAGCAAGCCCAGTGCTCTAGGTGCCGCCACAGAGAAGAGACTCAGTAAATACTTGTTGAGGATGGAATGGATGACTATCTGGGCATAGTCTAAGCTAAGACAATATATACGAGGACCTGGCATCAGGAATGAGGGCAACAGAAATCCAGAAAGTGATTTGGGCATAAAGGACTCTAAGAGTTTCCCTCAGCTGTCATTCACAGAGGTCTAGTTTGGGGCTACACTTCCTCCCAAGGCCCACGATTCAGCTCTCTGCTCTGAGACTTCAATGCTTTCTCTTCCTGTGCTAGGGGTTTGAGTGTCTCACCCAGGGCAACTGGAGATAGTATCTTTGTACTCCTACAGCACAGTGCCTCTGGCTTTTGATCTATCAGAGAAAAATCAAGCCCAGCCCAGATAAATAACTCAGTATAGCCTGGAGGAATGAAAACTGAAAGCAAGCTCAGGTGAGGGCCCGAAGACTGTCCAGCCCTAGGACTGATGCCAAGATAACAAGTCAGAGATGCTGTGTGAAGTTAACACAGACTGCTGTGAGGTCCTATCCTTCCTTTGCCTCTGTCTTTGAGGATGTTGCCTTTTAATTGAGGATTGTGGGCAAGATTTAAATTGGGTCTTAAAGAAGATAGCAATGCCAATAGCAGTGTCGTTTAGTATTTTTGTTTTTTGGAGGCAAGGTCTCCTGTAGCCTAGGCTAGCCTCGAATTTACTATGTAGCCAAGGATGATGTTGAACTTCTGATCCCACTGTCTCCACCTCTCAAGTACTGAGATTACAGTGTAGAACCGCCACACCCTGATGACTGACCCCAGGGCTTCACGTGTGCTAGGAGAGCTTTCTAACCACTCCCTGGCCTCCCCCACCCCCATTTTAATATTTTAAGAGAGAGGGTCTCACTCTGTAGCCCAATCCAGGCCATCCTGGTACTCACTACATACCCAGGCTGACCTTGAACTTGTGGCAAAAATTCTCTTCCTTCAACTTTTCAAGTACTGGGTAGTTCCAGATCACTTAGATGTCTGTCACACACCAAACACTCTTCTACGTACTTGGCATGTAGTTTCTCTCACATTTCCAGGAAAAGGTTCTGAGAGGGAAAGTCAGTCCATACCCTTGGAGAGCTGTGGATAAGGCAGAGGGCTTGGTGGAAGGGACATAGATGGGTTTAGAGGGGACTCCCCCTCAGTTTAGGGAGACGATAGTTCCTTGGTTGAAGGGCAAGGGTATGCACCAGAGTCCGTGGTAGATGTCACACCTCCTGTCTGCATCTAGGGGGCCTTGCTTGTTACTTGGGGCTCCTTTTGTTCGTGTTTCTGTCTTAGAGAGTCTAAGAGCCCTGGTTCTGAGGTAGTCTGGTTGTTACCTTTCTGCCTTCCTTGGGCTTCAGAGCCCTCTCTTTGTCCTCCCTCCCTCCTTCCCTTCCTCCCTTTGGTGAGGACTCATGGATGCTGAGCATGTACCCTGCTGCAGAACTCCACTCCAGAGGCCTCCCCCTGAAAGGAGCTTTGCTCAGTCGTTCCTAGCCCAAGCCCCTGGGCTCTATTCATAGCTCCTAGTACAACTGAGCCAAGAGGCAGGTGCAGTGTTCCTCAAATAGCTCTTTACCTGCCTCACAGGTGTCCCTGGAACACAGGACAGGCACAGAAGAGGGACAGGAGAAACCACCAGAGGCTCTCCCATGAACATGCCTGAGCAGGTGAATTGTTTGGCCCCTTTTAGGGTCCTGCTTGTTCCCTTGGTGGGCCTCCAGCATGTGGACACAGCATCCACCCCCCCCCCTTCCGTCCGTGTCCAGTCATTCTTTTACCTCTCGAAAGATAGGGTCTTCTCTGTGTCAGATCTTGTACTAGGCCCTGGCGTACAAAC